GTGTTATGCAATAAAGAGGGTGGATGTTAGGCGCGTGATACTTTTGCTCCAAAAGTTCTTTTTGATGGATTATTTACACATTTGCAGCCACATCTTTGCTCCCTGTGGTTAGATGCGTCGGATTTTATATCTTAATCATGGTTGTTCTCTCTTGTTGTCTCAGAAAACGATTGGGTGATTTGAATTTTTTTTTTCCTTGGTTGTAATTGGAGCGCTTTCGACAATGAATGAGGCGAGATTGAGCTTCTTATCAGCAGCTGTGTTCGGTCTGGTGGCGATTTTCGCCGTGTCATTCTGTGAGGGATTTACTAACGAACAAGACGGTATGCTCTGGTACACCTGCTTGTTCTTTTTGCAAACGAGTCTAGCATTTTGTAACGAAAGAAAAGCTTTCATCATACTAATCTGCTATTAATGCCATTTCGAAAGTGTCATTCATCGCTACGTGCCTGCTACGTGAGATTATTTATTATCTAACATGTTTGCTACATATTTTAAATACAAATGTGGAACCCCAGTGCAAACTTTTGAAAAACGTGTTTCCAAATCATTTGTTTCAGTATATCCTACTGAAAAGAAAGTTGACCTATGCACGGAGGAGAGGCAAGGCTTACCTGCTGTTTATCTGATGCCTGCATGCTAACTTTGCCAAACTGGTGGTTTTCGTAGCGGGTCTAGTTCAGCTCATGGCAACCTCGTCATGGGAGTCATTCTCATACCTATTGACAGTTGCTCCCTTGTGCGCTTGAAAAAGTCTAATTAACTTGTTTTCCATAACTGTTATTCTTCTGATTGCGTGATTGGCAAAAGAATGTCGATTGAGGTGTGTGAAGAATGCACAGTACAGTGCCTCCTGACCATGGAAAATATTAATGAGTTATTATTAAACTTTTGAACTAGGGTTCTTAAAAAATATAAAAGAGCCTAGCTCAAGATAAATTCTTTAGGAGAATGATGCCGGATGTTGTGAATAAATTCAGGGATAGTTAGATTGAGATGAACTAATTATGTTGATATAGGATTTTTTTTGCTTTTCCTTCTACTAGATCTATAATGGATTTATTTTCTTAGTTAGATCAGTTGTCATAAGTTCTTAGTTCAAGACTGGAGCCTTTTTCTTCTGTCTTTTTACAAGGACCAGGACCTTTGGCATCGTGGCTAGATAATTTGTCATTAGAAAATTCAAAAGCTTATTGTTCAGTTTATGGGTTCAAGAGTGTCTAGTTAGGATATGTTTTCGGTTGATTATGCTTCAGTATCAAATTGTGGTCAAATTTCAGCTCAATATCCTCTTTGACCCTTCTTGCTGCAAAGTAATAACTTCATTATAAGCATCGTTGGGAAGATAGACCTTCAAATGAGAATTAATTATCAAAATAAACATTATGAAAGCTCAACTAAGAGTGGGTGATCTTCACTGGTAGTCATGATCTGCACATCGAAAATAATATATGTAAAAATTAAAGAAGTATGAAAACAATTTATACATGAATCAAATACTATCTACTTTCTGCTGCTGAAATAACATGGAATTTTCGTCTAACTTTTAACATGAATGAAATTTCTGAATCATATAGCCTCTTGTTTATAGACTAATGTGGATATGTTAATCAAGACGAATGATGTATACATCCATTAGGCGAGTTCTTTTGGATTTCTAGCAAATGTTCTTGTGATGAAGGTAACATATGTATACTAGCAAACAATATTTGTGTTCTGGCAACTAATTTAGCAAAACGCACCACCAATAGTTCAAAAGTGGTAAGGTCCATTCTACTAGTCAAATCCAATAAGAAACATGGTTGGTCTCACTGCTTGCTATTTGGCAGATCATTTTACAAAATGACTTGCCACCTCGTAAATATTAATTAATACTCACACTCACGCGGCCCACAGGCTTATCCATTTGATTGGATGATAACAAATAAGGAACAATAAGTGATACAGGGAGGGAGGAGGCGTTAGCTTTCACTAGAAGAAAATTTTCTATTACGATGACCAAAATACTCTATTATGATGACCAAAATACAAAGTTTCCTCTATATTTGCTTCCATTGCTGTTGATCTTCATACCCTGTACACATTGATGAATGTAAGCTAACTACTATCAAATGATAAAAAGTGGTATATTGATGATGTCTTTTGTTTTATCCACATGCCTTAAAGGCAAATATCATAGACTACTCATTAGCCTATGATATAGACTAATGAATGGTCCCACGGTCTAAAAGATTCAAAGTGCAACCAAATTTGGTGCATAAGGGTATTGCATTATTTTGATCTAGAGGAATTGACTTCTTAAATTTGAAGATTCATATCATGAGTTTGTAAATTTGGTTCAACATACTATTTTAAACCCCTCAAATTTGTTTGTTGTTAATCCATACACAAAAAATCTTTAAATTATATATTTTGTGGTCTATTAATATTTAAATTGATGTATTCTTAAATTTTTGGTGCTCTAACATAGAGTATGTTTGGTAAGTGGTCAAAATGGCTTATAAGTCACTTTGACATGTTTGGCAAATGGCTAACCCAGCTTTTTTGTGTGTCTTATAAGCCAAAAGATTTGACAAGTAAAGACCGATATATCCCTCATATTTTCAGAAAATTCTAAGCCCCATTTGTCTTTCTCCAACCCAATGGATATTTTTTGATAATTTTCATGACAATGATGGCTTATATGCCGCCCAATTGCCAAACACTACTATTGAAAATGGAACGTAGTCCACTAAATTTATCAAATAGTTTGGCTTGTAATCCACTTGAATTATAATCTAGCCGAGAGGATTATAGTCCAAAGCTGCCAAACATGCTCATAAACTTTCCATTGATGGCATCAAAAGTCAAATCATATAACTGTGATCCCGCCCTCCCCCGCGCGCACCCTTCCTCCCTCCTTGCTGTGTATATGGTATTAGCTGCCATAAGGATTTCCTCCTGTCGTTTGTCAAAATTAAACTCTTCGCTCTCTGATTGGATTCCAAGTTTCCAACATGTTTCTTTTGATCGCCATTCCTAAAACTTAGATGTACTCAAGTTCTTATCATTTCCATACTCGTTGCTCATACATTTATAGGTAGCAAATGTGCTATCGCTGTAAAATAGTTAAATGTAATAGTTAAATTTGCAACTATTCAATGAGTGATCAAATAACAGAAACTTTTTGGTGTATCTAAGTTTTGGGTTGTGGAGATCTACATGGGCAATTCTGATTTTCTAACCTAATGGTGGAAATTGTCACTTTTCTGCTATAGGAAGAAATGTTTCAGTTCTGACCTCTGTATGTATGTGCACACTTATGTCACTTTAGACTGCAGTAATTAAGAAATATTTTTCTATAAGCTATTGTTTCAGATTAATCACTTGTTGGAAGCTTCAGTTTTTTCTTTGAATGAGCATTCGAAGGGATTGCTTTTAACGTTGGAAGATGTCATATCATATTTCTTGAAGTCTTTTTATTTTGTTGGAAGATAATTTATCCTAAACTTGATTTTCTCTCAGTGCATGCTATAAATATCTTATATGCTGCTTTGGGAACCCCATTGCTTCCTGGATGGGTACAAAGCGGAGGAGATCCTTGCTTGGAGGCCTGGCAAGGGGTGCAATGTACTGAATCAAATATAACTGCAATGTACGGTAATTGCCTGGCCAGTTTATCTTTCCTTGAGCAGTTCTGTAATCATGCCTGCTGATGTATATTCTTCTGATAGAACTATCAATGGTGCAAACCTGGGAGGAGAATTGGGTGATGCATTGGGGAATTTTACTTCAATAACCACAATGTAAGTAGCGGCATTGTGAACTTCCACCTTTCAGGCTTGTAATTTACTGACACTATTGTCTCAAGAATCATGCTGTTTTCTGGTTATGGTATATTGGAGATTCTTAACTACATATTAGTTCATGTTGCTTTGTAATAACTGATTACATAATCATGAAAGCTTTCAGTGACAGCTCCTTTGTTTAATGTGTAATAGAGATCTTAGCAATAATAACATTGGTGGAACTATCCCGGAGAATCTTCCTCTTACACTGAAGACATTGTACGTTTTTGGAAAATTGGAAAACCTTGTAGCAATTTCTATCTTTTTTTCCTGGGGTGTAGTCACTTTTGATTCATTATAGTTCTGTTTGCCTGTGGCAGTTTTCTCTCGGCTAACCAATTGACAGGAAGCATCCCAAGTTCTCTGTCCAAGCTAACACTTCTGTCAGACATGTAAGATCATGTTAATAATCTTTATATGCCTTTCCTTTATTTGTGAGGAGTAATTACAACTTCTTTGTCATCTTCCTATATTTTGTTTTTGGTAGGTCAGTGAACGTTAATCATTTAAGTGGTGATTTGCCAGATGCTTTCCAGTCTCTCACTGGTCTAATAAACTTGTGAGTGGATCTTCCCTTTAAATTTAACTTCTTTTCCTCGCTCCTGTTCAGTATTCCGTCCTTGACATTTGAAGTTCGTCTCTAATCAGTGATCTGTCTTCTAACAATTTGAGCGGCCAGCTTCCACCATCCATGGAGAACTTGTCATCTTTGACTACCTTGTGAGTTTATTTCTTTTATGCATATCTCTAATCGTTGTGTATATGTTCTTTGGCATCTATGAGTTAAATGAGCTTCTTTTTTTGCAGGCACATACAAAATAATCAGTTCTCTGGGACACTTGATGTTTTGCAAGACCTTCCCATTAAAGATTTGTATGTCCCATGTTCTCCCAACCTTTTCTCTCTCCTTTTCCTTTCAGTATTTCAATAGATGGAATTCTCTGGAAAAAGTCATTTGGATCACTTATTTGTAGAGGCATATGAACCTCAAATTTTACATTAATTTGAAATATGTGATACTTACAAATTGATATTTTTTTGCAAAAACTGTTTTCCTCCATGCATTGTTGAAAAGTAATCTGAAGAAGTTTCAGAAAAAGTGTAATGTGTGAATTCACATGAATAAACCATACCTTGCTTCTCTCTACTTTTAACCTCATTCAAGCAAAACCGTTCTATATCCAATCAAGGAATGCTAAAAAAATATACAGTTACTTTCTTATTCAATCCAGGTTTTCCTGCAAGACATACTGAAAACTAAATGTTGTAGGATGAAGCAAACCGTATGAACACATGGGGAAGATAATGTAGATATTGAAGAAATTACAGAAACTCAGAAGAATCAGTCAAACCAGGCGGCGGTCGACCGGTCCGGTCGACCGCATTCGTGCACAAGGCTTCCTGTGCGTCTGGAAGGAGGTCGGTCGACCGGCCCGGTCAGATTGTGAGATTGTAAACCCAGTTGTATCTCTCCCTCTATTAGTAGATCTCCCCCTCCTTGCCCCGTGGACGTAGGCTATTTGCCGAACCACGTAAAAGTTGTGTTCTTGCTGTGATTTGTAATAGCTTGTAGGATCCCTCGACAGGTCAGTCCTAGAACTGATGAGAGGAAGAGCCGATATCTCACTTGGTTGAGATATCCGCTTCAGATTCTTGTTTCCTTGGTGAGACGAGAATTCTTATCGATCTAATCTCTCTTGTTGTGCTGCCGAAGTGCTGCCGAAATTTCCGCTGCGCACAACAAGTGGTATCAGAGCTCCGGGTTGGACTTGGGAGCTTGTTTGAAGGATTCGCTGAAGGATTCTTATTTGAAGATTAGATCGACAATATGGGTGAAACAAGCACATCGGGATCGTCTCTTACGAAGACGATACATAGTTTGAGCATCAATAACATGAAGATTGATGTTCCGAAGTTCGACGGCAAGATTAATTTCGGATTGTGGAGGTGTCAGGTGATGGACGCCTTGGACGCTCAGAATTTGGAGGAGACTCTTGAGTTACAAGAGAAACCTGCCGAGATGGAAGCTAAGGTTTGGAAGAAGATGAATAGTAGGGCGTGTGGAGTTATTCGGTCATGCTTGACGCCGGATCTTATTTATGACGTGATGAACGAGACTTCGGTGAAGAATATGTGGGAAACACTCAATGAAAAGTATCTTACTAAGAGCATTGAGAATCGGCTTCACTTGAAGAAGAGGTTTTATCAGTTCAAGATGAAGAGGGGAGTTTCCATTAGGGAGCATGTTAACAACTTCACAAAGCTACTTTCAGACATGGCTAATGTGGATATCATGGTTGAGGACGAAGACAAGGCGATGCTACTTCTGTGCTCATTGCTCGAAGATGATTATGGTACGTTTGTCCTAACTATGATTAATGGAAGAACTACTGTTAGTTACAAGGAGGTGACCTCAGCGTTGGTGAATTATGAGTTGAGGAAGAGTGTTGATGAGTCCTCCGAGAAGGCATCGGGAGATGCATTAGTAGTTCATGGCCATGGTTCAAACCGAAGTAGGAGGTCACAGTCTAGAGGTGCACATCGTGGGGTTCGTAGGAATCAGTGTGCCTTTTGTAAAGAAGATGGACATTGGAAAGCCGAATGCCCAAAGTTAGATCAAGCCGAGAAGAATAAGGGAAAAGCTGTACAAGTTCCAGAGGTGAATGTTGTCAAGACTAGTGGCAACAATTCAGATTCGGATTCTTCGGGCTATTCATTGTCTGCACTGCCGTCAGTTTGTGTTGCCAACTCTACAGAATGGATGTTGGATTCGGGTGCTTCATACCATGTTTGCCCTAGGAGAGATTGGTTCTCCAGCTTTCAGGAGTTGGAAAGAGAAGATGTTGTGCTCATGGGTAATGGACATGCATGCTCTATTGGTGGTATTGGTACAGTTCGTATTCGGATGTATGACGGAGTGATTCAGGAGTTGGAAGGAGTGAGGTTCGTTCCACAGTTGTCGAAGAACATCATTTCACTAGGAGCTTTGGAGGCAGCAGGCTATAAAGTGACCTTAGAGGATGTACGTTTGAAGGTCACATTGGGGTCCATGATTATGATAGCACGGCTATTGATAGGGAGATGACGACTTCATCAGATTCGGCTAGACTGTGGCGTTGTTTGATGCTGGGTTATTTGATTGGTAATACCGTGCATAGGTTGTTAAGGAGTGTTTTGACCTGCAATATGAAGTCCTGTGAACCCATTGGTATGAGCAAGAAGACCGAGGTGGAGTTTGGCACTTCTATCCATCAGTCGAGGGGTCTTCTGAGGGGTGTTCATTCAGGCATTCGGGGGCCTTCCAAGGGAGCATCATTGGGAGGTAATAGGTATGCGGTTTCTGAAGTTGGGGATTATTCTAGGCATTGGTGGGTTGCAACCAAGTCCCGTTGGTATGAAGTCCTAGAAGCCCGCAACAGATATAGGAAGTGTGTTGGTAGAAAGGTAACCCGATGTTCTGATTATGGTAGGGGTTCTTTCTTGCGTTTGTGCCGAGCTCACGGCAATAGGAGACACTTCATTGGTATGGAAACTTTGAGGCGACGAGGTGAGATAGCAGATGTGGGGAGCTGTTCCTTTCTGGAGGAGGATCGGCGGTTGATGTCGAGCTTTGGCATTGGTGTGCAGGCTACGACATGTTTGTGCCGTCTTATGTATAGGTTGCCGACTGCTGCATGTAGAGATATGGGATCTGGTGGAGCTGCTTCAGATTTTGGGTTGCGTCGGATGTTTGGCTACCCAGCACTTGGTCACATCGTGGATGTGAGATTCGATCCGATAGCGCGTTTGGGATACGGAGGCTCATTTGATTATCGTTTGGGAGCTTCTGACTTTGTTCTGAGCAGATATGTCACGTTTGACTCTCAGCAGGTGGAGAGTGGTGATCAGATCATTGGGACATCGCAGCGGGTGGAGAGTGATGCTACTCCACATTGGGTGGAAACTCCAGATCATACTGCATTATTTGGGATTCCAGCTGATGTGACACAGATTGGGAATCATGTTGATTTGGATGCAGATGATAGGATGATTGATTCGAGTATAGCTGATGGATGTAGTCTGGATATGGCCATTGGTTCACCTCAGATGGAGGTGTTTGTTTTGTATCAGTTTGGGGCCGCTATCAGTTGTAGATCCGTTGGCGATATTGGGGAAGAGTTGCAGACTTTTCTATTTGTTTGAGGATCTTTGGAGGCCATTTGGGTGAACTACGTTCGGCTTGATTCCTTGGGCAAGAGGATACGTATGCAATCTTTCAGATGCAGCCGGTTTGATCAGTTGTCTCAGATGGGGGGAGATCGCGTTTCAGCTCGAGTATTGTTCTTGAATTTGTTGAGGAACTATTGGATGATTGGTGTCGGCTCAGTTTTTGGTGGAAACATTCGCCGATGTGGATGGTGATCGGTCGACCGGGCCGGTCGACCGGAATTGATCGCGGTCGACCGGGCCGGTCGACCGACGAAGCGGATATCAGTTTTTTCAGGTTTTCGACCCGGTTCGTTTTGTAAGTTCTATATATACCTAAACCTGATTTGTTAGGGTATTGAAAGGACGATTTTGAGCAGTCTTTTTGAGAGAGTAGTTGCATCCAAGTTTGTGGGAGAGCTTTGGAGAGATCAAGAGCTTTGTTTTAGGGTTTGGTCTGAGAGATTGTAACTCTATTTGTATTCCCTTAATTTCTAGTAGTAAAATCTTCCCCCTCCTTGCCCCGTGGACGTAGGCAACTTGCCGAACCACGTAAATCTCTTGTTATTGGTGATTGTGCTTGTTGATTTTGATTGTGATCTCTCTTGTTTGGGTTGTGTGTGAATCGAACGCTTCCGCGCTGCGCACAACAGTTGATTTTGATTGTGATCTCTCTTGTTTGGGTTGTGTGTGAATCGAACGCTTCCGCGCTGCGCACAACAGATATTGCTCTTATTTTTCAACGTATTGTTACAACAATGTGGAGCTCCTTTCTGTCTTGCAGATAGCTGTCTTTTTTCCTATAGGATTTGCCACTACTTTTCCTATTCATCCACGAATATCCATTTATTAACATGAGACAAGGCAATAGCTCATTATAGTGAACAAATCTAAAAGCTCATCCCTCATTTGGAAAATCTCACCCCCATTTTTTTCTTCTAATTTATAGCGTTTAGCAATTAAGTATTTGAGAGTCATAGAAAATGTTTAACTTTCAAATTAATGGGTACATGACTCAGCATGAGTTATTATATTTAAAATTGTCGTTCCCATGCCATTGGTGTTGTTTTCCAGGTTACCATAAAATAGTTCCCCATATGTTTTGGACGATGTTGATACAAAAATTCCTTTATAATATTTTATTTGGTTTCTTTTAATTGTTTTCTTTCGTTGGACAGGAATATAGAAAATAATCTATTTTCTGGACCTATACCAGAGAAGCTGATGAGCATTCCAAATTTCAAGTAAGTCTCATAATAACTTAGCTGTGCTTATTTTATTTGTGCTTGGACTTCCTGATGGGATAATGCGAGAGATATTTTACAGAAATGTTGAAAAGTTTTTTCCTCAAGAAAGAGAAGGAATATGAAATGTTGAATGTTTTTTCCCTACCGTCTTAGCACTAGTTGGAATTTACATATAGTAATATAGCCAGTTGCATGAAGATGTTGCCTCTGAGAATGAATAATTGATTAATGAATGCTGTGCAGAAAGGATGGGAACCCATTTAACAGTACTAACAGTACTGGTATTGCTCCGTCACCAGTGCCAAGAGTGCCACCATCAGGATTACCACCGCCATTTTTCCCAAGAGCTTCTCCTCCTAAATCTGCATCATCAAACTCTTCGCAGGCACCACCCTCTCAGAAGAGCCATAATGGAAAAAATGGAACTTTATCCACAATAAAAATCTTTGCGTTTGTTCTAGTTGGGGTGATATCTCTAATCGTTATAGTGCTAACGGTTATCTTTTGTATATCAAAATACCAAGAAAAAAAATCGAGACATCCAGAAACTTCTACGAGGACAGAGGTAATTTCACGCGAAAGGCCCAAGGAACCTAGAAGCTATGAGCGCCCCACAAAGCCAAATACAAATGTCAATAAAGGTAAACATCTTACCACTGGTCAAACAATGGATAGACATTTTCACTGATTGATGTTCTTCTCTCTCTTTTTTAAAAAGGTATACCTATCTAGAAATTACACAGCATGTGGTTTATTTATCCTCATAAATAGCATCTGCATTTTTTTAAACAGTTCAGAACGCATCTGAGGAACAGAATAATGAACACAAAATTGATATGGGAGGTGCAGGTAAAGTTACTGCAGACTTCTGTAATCACTCTAATTACTTACTTGTTTGACTAAAGTCAATCTGAAATTTTTAGCAGTTCCAGTGGTAGTCCCCGAGAATAAGAAAAAGGACCATTTGATAGATAGGAGAGACTCAGAAATACTTCAAGTGCCCCCTCGTCCCCCTGAGAAGAAGAAGGAACATTTTATTGACAGGACAGATTCAGAAATACTTTCGATACCCCCTCCCCCTCCACCTCCACCTCTGGTTGAGAAGGTCATTGTAAACCGCATTCCCCCTTCAGAACCAATTACGCTAACAGCTTCTCCTGCAACTGCAAACACCCTGCCATCTGTGGCCTCCTATTCTGTTGCATCCCTTCAGCAATATACAAATAGTTTCAGTGAAGAAAACTTGATCAGAGATGGTAGATTGGGCAAAGTATTTCTGGCCGAGCTTCCCGATGGAAAGGTATGACCTTCCATCTTGAACATATTTGATTTTGATTGTGATCATAAATCCTGATTTTCTTTATACCTTCTCCCACTGCACAATGAAAGTCAAGCCTAGTGTATGTATTGTAAGGTTTCCTTAGCAATAACTGCTTGCTGTTTATTTGAAAACTTTTGCTTAAGATGATTATTTACAACAAAAAGGGTAATTTTCACTATATACCAAAATGCTAAAATACAAAGTGAATATGAAAGTAATTCAGTGGAGTATTTTGGGTCAAAGAGTGATTTTGAAAGTAGGTGGGTTTAGATTTTTTTCTTTTTTTTTCCTTTTTTTTTGGGTGGGGGCTTTGGGTTTATAAGTCAAAGCCCCTATTGGAAGTGGGTGGGTTTTTTAAAAAAGTACGGATAAAAATGTGGGTTCATAGACAAGAAATCCATCTACCATTTGTGATATGTCATAAGTGTGAAAAAGCAAGAACATAATAAGTTTAAACATTTGATATAAAAATACACAAAATATATTACCACTTAGAATAACAATATAAATAGTTATGGCAAAATGCAACAATTTACATCATATAACAAACCACTAAGGTACAAGTGAGTTCCAAAATTCGGTGGTTGGGTCAAAGAGTGATTTTGAGGTGGGTGGTTAAGAATAATTTCTTTTTTCTTTTTTTTTTGGTGGGGGGGGGGTTGGTTTAACATTGTAAGCCCTTTGATGAAGTGATATGAAATGAGTGAGCTCGAAAATAGAGTCACATGGGTATCCTTGGTACCAAGGACTAAATTTGGTCCTTTGGTAGTGAGGTGACCACTTCTCATCTGCACATCTAATTGGTGAGTAATCAAGTGGGAACCATTTTCAAGTGGACAACTTTAAATCTGTAGATGAGAAGTAGTCATGTCACTATCAATGACCAATTTTGTCCTTGTTTTCCTAAATAACAATTTTTTCTTAAAAATAAATGGGGTAAAAAATTGAGTTTGCAGTCAAAAGGCCCATATGCAGTTTACGATGTCATGACATTAGTTTAAAAAAAAGCCAAAAAATAATGGTTTAAACATTTGGTTTAAAAATACACTGTGTACCTAACCGCTCGGAACGAAAATATGGCAAGTATGCAAAATAATACAACTTACATTGCATACCAAACTTCAGAAAATACAAAGTGGATTTGAAAATAATAAGATTACGTATTTTGGGTATGAGAGTGATTTTAGAAGTGGGTGAGTTTAAAATTAAATAAAGGTGAAACTTTGATTTTATGTGTAAAACAAACCGTCATTTTTTAATCATACCTATACACTAAAGTTAATGGGAGGTACTATTCATAAGCACTATTCATCTTGCATTAACTTTCATGTGTGTGTATATATAGATTGTCTGACACGAGGCAGCATCTTCAAGATTAATTTTTATAATATGGCACCTTTTGATTAGTTTAATAAAAATTACACTGATTATAGACCTTGGACTTATACAATAAAATACTTTTCTTATTCATCAATGTAGGGTTCATATTCCTTGTTTCAAACTTTCAATTAGTAGAGATGATTATACATCTCCTCTGACATAATCTAAAGTGTTTTACATGATGACATTATATTGCAACCTTCTGATCCTTCCACCTGTTTCGTTGCCATGCATGTGAAAGGCGTACATCTTTTGAGGTGAAATTCTTGTTCCACTTCCAACTTCCAATACTTGACGAAGCACAATTATATTCTTTTGCAATATTCTTTTGAAGTTTTATGTCAATTATCGCCACATAGTTCTTAAATAAATATCCTAAAATCTGTTTTCAGAACCAAAAGTATCCAATATCCTTTGTACTATGCGCATACACACTGCAGATATCTGCAGTACTTTATGCGTGTTTCATGATGTTTTGTGTACTGATAGAAATAGTGGCATAGGCTGTACATTAGTCTGATTTCTATGTTTATGTTGCAGCTATTGACAGTCTGATCTCTATGTTTATGTTGCAGCTATTGACAGTTATGAAGCTTGATAATGTAAACTCAAAAATATCAGTAGATGAATTTCTGGAGCTGGTCTTGAGCATCTCTGAACTGAGACATCCTAACATTGTCGAGCTTGTGGGTTATTGTGCGGAATTTGGGCAGCGGTTACTTGTCTATAACTTCTTCAGTAGAAAAACTTTACATGATGTTCTCCACTATGAAGATGATCTTAGGGAAAAGCTGTCATGGAATGCTCGTCTTCAAGTAGCCCTTGGTGCAGCAAGAGCTTTAGAGTAAGTTGAGCTCTTTTAGTTTATCAATTTTCTAGTGAAATTATTCCGCATGCTTATATGTTGCTTTCTGATTTCTGAAGGTATCTCCATGAGGTCTGTCAACCCCCTACTGTACATCAGGAATTTGGGCCCAATAATATTCTTATTAACGATAAGTTTACAGTACGTGTTTCTGATTGTGGCCTGGCTCCATTGTTGTCATCCAGTTCTGTGACTCAGGTAGCTCAATGCAACATCATAGTATGTTTTTTGTTGAAAATATTGTTATTAAGCCTCTTCATTGCAAATCCTTCTATATAAATAGTTGTTTGCTTTAAACTTGCGAGTTTGCCTGGGTTAAGAAATATTATGTAGTGAGTGTTATGCTGCTCTGCTTAATCAAGACTTTCTGTATGTCATTTAGAATGCAAAATAGTTGAACAAGGCCTTAAAAATCTGCAAATCGGATATGTTGATCACCATCCTTGTATTGGAAAGTTCAGATGCCTTAATAGTACGGTTGTTTGATTAATCAATGGTCTGGAATTGCACGGCTCTTGTTACCACAAATGCATTTGAGAAGATACCTTCCAGACATTTTATTTTGGTATTAACAGTAAACATTATTGGATATCTGTAGTACTATATTAAAAACATAGTGAGGGTAAAAAAAAGTTTTAAGGATATACAAAGGTTATCCTTTATCTCAATAAAGACATGAGGACAATTTGATCATTTCACAAGTTTTATTTTGTTTACTTTTCTCTTTTTTTATTTCTAGAACTTTCTAAAGCGTATCATAGAGTTTACTGTAGAGAAATAGAAAACACAAAATATTTTTTATTCATCCAACCCTAACCTTTCTTCAATAGAGATTAGGAGGATATTACAAAATAAGTATAAGATAAAATCATATCTAATCACATTTCATAATATCTGCTAAATACTAATAATATCTAATACTCCCTCTCAAGCTGGAGCATATATACTGTATATGTTTAGCTTGTTACAAATAAAAATTAAACAACTAGTTGCAAGAGCTTCGTAATGTCATCTTTATCCGAAATACTTGAAGCCGGTAGTAACTCTAGGCTAGTTAGCCAATAAATACACTAGGTGGGTCAACCAGTAGAGAGAAATTGTAGGTGGCCAGTAGAGAGAAATCCTAAGCGGGTCAGCCAGTAGAGGCAACGTCAAAAGAGAACATTGTCATTGCAAATAACTATATGCTGAATAGTGAATAGTAACAGAAATTACTGTTCATCCATGAGCAACAACTTCGATAGTGTTCATCGCGTGAGTGATAGGTGCCAATTTTTTTTAAAAGGTTATTTTGTGGAGGGTGTTTGATAAGATCTAGAAAACGATGATGCTAAAGTTATTATTGATGTTGTTGAAGCCATCGATGCTATCAAAAATATTATCGTAGCCGCCGAGGGGAGCATAAAGGCCATGCAAAGCCCTCAACAACTACGAAATTTAGAAAGATCGGAGAAGTTGCTAGGATCGAGTAGACTCTGATACCATGTAAAGAAAGAGAAAAAAAGATTTTTTATTCACCTAAACCCAATCTCTCTTAAATAGAGATTAGGAGGATATTACAAAATATGTATGAGATAAAATCATATCTAATCACATCTCACAATATCACATAATATCTTATAACATCTGCTAGATCTAAATACTAATAATATCTAGCATTTATTAGCTAATTATCTATTACATTATTACATTATATTGTAAGAAGATATAACTATGAAATGATAAAATTCTTTTCCATGTAAATAAATACAATAAAAACAATTAGAATTTCAATACATACCAATATAAATATTATGGAAAGTATATATCTAAATACTTAGCTTAAAAATAATTAAATAAAATAATTTGAAGACGAAATATGAAAAAAGTCTCTTCTTAATGACGTATCTATGAAAATGACGTTATTTCTCAAATTGAAATAAATATCATAGTCAATTTTAAATAAGGTAAGATATAATATTGCGTATTAAATGAACAACTATCATAAAGAGATCCTAGAATATGGTACTCTAACCTATTAAAGTGAACATTTTTATATAAAAATTAGAATAATTAATTTTTAATGTCGGTTGGACTTGTGTTTGCACGTGCAATTTCTAAGTTAAGAAATCACATGGTTTGTCAGGATAACACCATACTTTTGCATCTCCTAGCAAATTTGTGATTTAATTCTCCACTTTCCTTGAATTAATAGGATATATGGGCATAAAACTTACTAGAAGGATTTTTTTAATTAGAAACTACCTTATATTTAGGGTCAATTTATGTAAACCACCTTATTATTTCCAATTTATACCTAGACTGCTAAACCACCTATAAAATTAGTTTGTCTTCCAGTCAACTACATGACCCAACTTTGCTGCTAAAATTCATCTGAAATCAAACAATAGCTCACTTGATCTCACGTGTGAAGCACATGACCTCTCTTGCTGATGCTCTGTAAGCTTTCCATGTGAGATTAAGTGAAGGTATTGTTAGAATTTTAGAAAATTTTTAATAGCAAGGTCAGATGATTGATCGGGAAGAAAAACATAGATGGTTGATCGAAGAAAAACTACTTTATAGATGGTTTAGGTATAAATTGGAAATATAATGTGGTTTATGTAAATTGACCCTAAGTAAACGGTGGTTTTCAGGAAAAAACCCCTTACTAGAAAAATGTCTTGTCTCATGTAGTCTGCATACTTGCTAGTCTGTGTACAATGCAATATTTTGCAATTTCATTTGATACTATAAATCACTCATAAAATCAAACATTTAGTTGTTGAAGTATTAGTTAGCAACATCATGATGTACTTGCTAATACTTTGACATGCTCGTAAGGTCCCTGAATCGTTTGGATGGAAAGTCAATTAAATGCCACTTTTATGTTTAAAATTAATGTTGATTAATTATTAAAAATCATAGAACTTTGTAACAGCTTATATTTGACTAATAACACGGTTTTCTTATGTGTTTTGTTAGCTGAGTTTCCTTTTCTGTGGATAAAAAGTGGAAAACATTATCGAGTCAGTAGAATAGTTCAAATTAGAACAATCAGATTATATTGTATGACAATATGTGAGCTATACGAGGCTAAGTGAGGTTATTGTTCCGTTCTTTGTGGGTTTTTCTCGTGAGGAGGAGCAGTGGCGTTTCTTTTTTATGTAGCTGGATTTATAAAGTAGGAGAGTAAATGTTATAAATCATAGTTTTAGTATGTGTTTGTTGAGAACAGTGTACAATCATATTATGCGCTGGCTAAATGGAGTATGCAGAATGATGTGCATTTGAATTTTTTTAATATAATAAAATGTTTAAAAAATCCCATGTGAAAACATAAATGTAATTAGCAAAGAACTACAAATGAGAAATTGAGTATTGAGCAAGCATCATGAATGTTTAGAAACCAGAACACATTGAGAGATAGAGGGTTTTCTGTCAGGGGACGAGGCTGAAATAGGGTGGAATCGATTTTTAGGGATTTTTTTATTTAAAGGTTCCAAATATGAGTTTTAATTTTATTATTGAGCTGATTTGATCCAAATAACTAAATTCTGCGCCAACATAAAGTTTTATGTGGGTGCTTCTTCAAGCTGGTTCTCAATCATGCTGGTTTGAGTGCAATATTGACTGCATAAAATGACTTTTAGATCATTTAGGAAGGGACTGCTGCAATAGCACGGAATAAATCAGGTATAAGTTTCATTTGACGGTCCAGCAAATCAAGAGAAACTTTTAGAAATCTATAAGAGAAGCATACTTAATAGTGATTTGGAACCATTTAGATATGAAAATAAAAGCCTCAAATTTTCTGGATTCACAGTTAACTTAGTTGTCATGTGTATTACATTATTAGAAATTTTGATATTGTTTGATGATCAACTACAGAAAAAAACATTTATTATTCACACTAACTTTACTATCTGAAGTTGCAGTTAATTAACTTGTCATATGTATTGCATTATTGGAAATTATGAAATTGTTTGATGATTAAGTACAGAAAACACATTTATTTTTCATATGAACTTTACTATTTTTCTCTGCCTAAAAAGTCCATATTCTGAATTCCGAGTAAAAGCAGATGTCTATTCAAGGCATCACTGCTGCTAATATCATTTTAATATCAGTTGTCAGGGCGAATGCGCGCATTATTTAGTTATGAAGCTCCAGAGTTTAATGAGTCTGGGTCTTACAGTGATCGGAGTGATGTTTACAGCTTTGGTGTTGTCATGTTAGAACTCCTTACAGGGCGCGAACCCTATGACAGGTAACATGAGTTCCTATATTCCTTATAGAAGATCTCAGCAACTAGTTTTTCCTAGTTGTGTTAGATACATCACATATTTATTTATTTTCTTTCTTAAAACATAAACTGCAGTTCACGTCCTCGGGCAGAGCAACATCTAGTGAGATGGGCTAGTTCTCAACTACACGACATTAACAACTTATCTAGAATGGTGGACCCTCAAATTGGTGGGAAATGCCCCAAGAAATCATTGTCACAGTTTGCAGACATTATTAGCCGCTGTATTCAGGTATTTCTTTGTCTTTCCATGTGCACACAGCTGAAAGATAGCATTCTGATTCAACTGCAATTTCTCCAAGATCACATGGACAATATTGAAGTAGAGCATTGTACATTTATCCTAATGATTGTTACTTATTTTCAAAAGTAATGTGGATAAATATTTAAAGTTGTTCTTTCACAATCTATAGTTTGACAGCGAATTAGAAGTTTGTCAAAGCAACTAGCTAGAAAAACACATAAATACTTTAGCTAGTATGTGTTCGTGTTTGTGTGTATGTGATGATGAATATGAGCTGAAACACATAATATTAGATATGAGCTGCTTCCTGATTTAACAAAATGAGCTACCACATGCACAAATGTATATGGGATACTCATCTCTTATATGAGTTGTCATCTCATTTACCAAAATAAGCTACCAAGAGAGAAGTGGTGAGATCACACCTTCCGATGTGATTAGCCGGGTGGATGTCACAACTAGTCGAGCTCTTAGTAGTCCATTTGGAAAAATAAGTTGCCACCTCATTTACATTTTACCTATGTGTGTATGTGTGTGTTTGTGTGTGCAAAAGTAGGTTCAATGTGGACGTCTCGACTAGGACTAGTCTATCTCTTGCTCATGTTAGAGTTAAGGCGTCTCATCACTCCTAAATTTTGGCAGCTTATTTAGCAAAATGAGCTACCAACTCATATCCAATAATGGAAAGGCATAATTTTTGGTTCATAGAACTTTTAATAACAACATGTAAATCCTGAAATGGAGTGGACCATTCAACTTCATAACATATCATGCATTTTGGCAGAACATAACTGCGCAGTCCTGCACTAAGTTTTCTCCCCTATACCCACTAGTTCACAAACTTTAATTCCTCTCTGTTACCTAAGTTTACTAATAATACAGAATGATTTCTCTTCCCATCTAGATCCTATATTTTCAAATCGTGAACTCTATAAATCTTTTGAATTCAAGTGCGGAGGTCTTGAATGAGATATATCCAGAAGTCCCCGAACTCCTGTGGAGGGTGTTTAGGCTACATAGTTTTCAAGCATTAACGTTTTGTGTTGTGTGCATTTGGATTGGAGATACTCTCACATGCTTCAATGCGTATACTCTGACATGCTTCAATGTGTATCCTCTGACATGCTTCAATGTGAATCTCATCTGTGATAGCTGCTAACTTGTGACTCTGTAATTCAGCACGGGCCCGAGTTCAGGCCACCTATATCAGAGGTTGTCCAAGACCTTAATCAAATGGTGGAGGACAGCAAGAGGGTGGTAGCAGAAGCTTCCAATGTCAAGTCTCAACGAACAAGACAAGAAAGAAGAGATCGAGATTCCGATTAATGGTTGCACATATGTGAGTTTGCGAGAGAATTATCAGGCATTTTCCTAATGCTTTCCCTCCTTCGCTAACAAATCTCTGACAGTTGGCAGAAAAAGGTCTTGCTCTGGTGCTACTAATTGTCGAGGCAGATCCCCGCGCTGTATAAGCTTACAGGAGTAGAAAGCTCATTTGTTTAGTTGTATCAATTAGTTTTAATTAATCCATTCAATTTGATTGACGGTGTTTTGTTTTTATGTTCCGTCTGGGGGCTCCTTAAATTTTGTATGTATCAATTCTTTCTTGGTACCCGGAGCGCGTATGTTAGAGCAATCCATGTCAATACAAGCATAATAAACCCTGTAAATTGTTTATCGTTCATCTCGTGCCCTAATTTTTCTTTGATGTGGGACTGAATTTTAAGGTCACCAATGTAGGCTGGGCGCCTGCACTTTTTTAGCTTCAAGTGATGATTCTCTTCGTTGAAAAAATGAGGAAAAGGTTAATGAATTTATATGGGGCCTCTTACCTCTGTGTTGGTTTTTATTTATGCGATTCCAGGTGAAGCGTCTCGGCATCCAGCTTCTGATTTCATGGCCATTTTATAGATGGACAGATAATTTGATGGATGTGGTCTCGCTCATTTATTTCTTGTTTATTAAGGAAAAAGATTTTCGTGGTACCCTACCGATTTCTTTATAAATAATATATAGGACTTCAGCCGATTGTATAAAGTCTAGCGTAGCATGCGCTTCATTGACCGAGACCATAAAATTTTTTTTTTTTACGCCCTCAACGACCACCTCGCCTAACAGCAATTGAGGGTTATTTAAATATGTTGTTTGGATGTCAACCTCCATCTCCTAAAAATTGTTTCCAGAAATTTCTTCAGACATTTACTCCTCCGTGTTATTTAAAAAAAAAACTGTTGGCTGAATTTGTAGAGTGATCTCTGGAAAATTTGTAGAATGAGGACGATGATTACCTCATGAATATTCCATGATCTGCCTATCATGCTCAGCGAGCTCGAGGCCTTCTGGGGGGGTTGATAAGAAATAAGATACAGGCCAATGCGGCCGAGATTGCAGCTCGACTGGTCAGGTCAAGCTTTACCATTACTCCATTACTCAAGCCGAGAGGTCTGAAAAGAAGAAGAGAAGGAACCTTAATACATCCTTATTGATCTTGACCAACATGGGGCAGGTGAAGATAGCATTGGCTCCAAAAACCCATACGAATATCTCCTTCTAGTCTTATTAGATTCGGGGGTATTGGAGATGATTTTATAGCCACCTAAGATCTGGAGATAATAGTGGCCCTCTTGCTGATTCACCTTCACACTAACGAGATGGTCGAGAATTCTCGGAGTCGGCTCAAACCTAGCTTGTCGCAGATGATCACGAATCCCCCTAAAGTATCGATAGAGTTTGGCTTCATCTGCGACGGTGAAACTCCTAAGGCTTGGAAGATGCGATAGAGAAAAAGGTGGAGTGGAAGATGCAAGCCATACTCTGAATGCTTAAGATACACAAGAGTAATATTCCATTGTAGTCAAACACCACCTGCGTACGCGTCGACGTTGATAAGGTGAATGCCCGAGGGATGTCAAACTATGTCATAGGAAGTTTCCAGCTATGTTGACTATACCTTTGAGTGGAACCTTTGGAGATAGTTGATCCGAGCCTCTTTCCAAGCCAGTAAAGATGAAGATGCCATTAATTTGATGATCACCAAAGGAAGTGCAAAAGATGGTCAGCAATCACTCACTATAGAAGTAGATTCGAGGGTTTTAGAAGAAAGTAAACTTTCCCCATCTGAGAACAGTTGTATATAGGTGAAGAAGTCGGTATTGGAAAAATCATGATGGTCAACTCGACCATTGATGGACAGCTAGGAAGGAATTCAAAATTCGAGGCAACCGCTCAAGAATCGAAGCACTCTTCGCTTTGACTGACCCGCAATCTCTGCTCGGGAACTAAGGCGATGCCAACACATGATCTTCTCTGACGTTAAAAATGTCACATCATAAGTGACTCACCAGTGAACCCTTATAAATCAACCTCAGAACCACAAAACGCAATAGCTTAATTTCACTCGGACTTGGCCACTCGAGTTTGAGTGAAAGGGACCAGTGTTGTGCTATAAAAATAACCAAATGTTAATCAGAATCAACAGGCTGGCATGTCTTTCAAGCATGCTACACACCGACTCGGGCACACCGACTTCTCGAAGGCCGAGACGAAAGGCATCCCCTCTCGTCTCCCTCGGAGGCCGAGACGAAAGGTGTCCCTCCTCATCTCTCTGAAGGGACGAGATGAAAGTTGTTTCTTCTCGGCCCTCTTGCAGAGTCAAAACGAAAGACAATCGTTCTCGAACCCCTCGCTGATAGCCAATTACCATCACACTAAATGCACGGTCGATGTCATGATTACATCCTCCTCGAAAGTCTTAATAACTCATCGATTGTCAGCACCATACTCCCATTGTCACCATTGCATTAATCATAGGAGTGACTCATTCCTCCGTAGTCGACAACTATAAAGTATCAGCCGAGTAAGCTAACTGCTTGGACTCGATCGAGATTATATGAATACCCTTGTCAGCTGAGTATAAATAGGCACATCGCCTACTGACCGAAGGTATGCAATTTTTGTACACTTAGAACTATATTAGTTCATTCCTCCACTTCAGATTAGAACTTACTTGATCGTCGGAGGAATCACCGGAGAACCCAACTTTGGTCCTCTAACATATTGCACATGTTATTAGGGGATTAGCCATCAAAGGAGATCAAGGGACCCTAAGCTCTTCAGCATAAGCCCTAAACCCCACTGTTAATCATCTGTGCATCAACAATAACGACCTTGTCTACAATTAATAACTTTTTGTTGTTTATCTTGTATCTTGTATCATTGTCAGCTGGGTCTTTGAGATACTCTACTTAATCTGCTGATGAAACACGCCAGAATGATGAGGCACACATAATGAATTTTGACAAAGAAAACCATTGCACTCATAAGAATGACAAATGCAAGAAACTCTTTTTCTATTAGCATCCCAACTCACAAAAAAGTCTTCTTTTTTTTTTCAAAATATTCAACTCTATAAATTGCGACAATCCCATCTTGCTCTTTCATTGCATGACATTTGGAAACTCTAAAAACTTCTACTTGAAAATTTTTAAAGAGCTCATATGTATAAATAACAGATATATTCCTCTCAAATAGAGATGGAGTTTTTAAAATAGGTTCTTTATACCAAGTTTTAAATTTGCATATCGTCTGCTTCAAATCTATCCTCTAAACCCACGACATATTTTCAACAAATTCCTTCAATAGAATCTTATCGTTCACATATTTATCAAAAAGAAAAGAAAAGAAAAAAGAGTTAATATTTTCAAATCTTTGAGTAGTTGACATGCCTGCAAATAAAATTACCAAAGGAAAACATTATCTAAATGATTTTAAATAGTGTATTTAGATTTATTCAACAAAAGGAAAAATAGTTGATTATTTATTAGTTAACACGCATGTAAAAAAGGCATCTCTGGAATGTTTCAATAAACTTCTCATAAGTGTCAATCACGTGAGAGAGTTTTTCAAGAAGCTATTGTAGCTGTCTAAAAATCACAATAGATAGCTGATCTCCGTCAAGTTTTAATGATGAGAGTTACAATCCGACGACTTCCATATCTTAATGATGAAAGTTACAATCAGATGACTTTCATGTTAACAAAAAAACTACAAATGAAAGACTTTTCACATAGATCGAGAAGAGTTATAATTCAACGACACTTTCAACAAATGATGAAAACTCTATTCAGTGGTCTTCACAATCAACTGTGAGAGTTACGATCTGACGACTTCCATACCCCACAACAGCTAAAGCAAAGATTACTGAACAATGGTCCTTGCAACGCTCTACAGAAGAGGTTACAAGTCAACTAGCCTCTTCTAAACGCGGAATTCATCTTCGTGTTTTAATTCTTGAAATGCAGGCGACCCCCGCGTTTCCAATCCTCAACAAACAAAACGCGGGTGGCCATCGTGTTTTTTAACATCCAGCGGATATCCAACTCCGCGTCTCTAGTCTAAGACGCAGAGTTAAGGTCTGAAACGCTGATTTGGGCGTTTGACTCATTCAAACATGAGTCAAACGGTTTCATAACCGTTTTTTCCACGATTTGAGGAAATCACGCCCACTTAGGAGCAGATTAAGGGGGCAGTTACAACCCTTATCCTCCTATAAAACCTCAAAAAATTCAACAGAGAAAGAGGTTCGGTTTTAGAAGATTGGTGGGTGAAGAAGAGATCGGATTTCTCACAGAGAGAGCATCGACTGATTCTTCTTGGATTGTCGGCAACAGGAAGATCTGATCTTGGAACATCTTTCAGCAACAAACAAATCCACTTGGCTATTAACCGAATTTTCGGTTCAAACAACTCTTTTCACAGAGTTTCAACTCACTCTGAGTTCTTAAGCTCGTTAAGAGTTCTCCATCAAACTTGTCACACAAGTTAATTGTGCCCGCGAGACAAGACGGTCGGATCGTCAACAGAGAGCAAATTCAACGCGAGCATTCGAAGGAAGTACTCCATCGCTACTGTGAAGAACCCAGAATTAAACAAAGGAGAGAATCTAGATCGTTCTTCTCTCTTTTGTAATCAGAATTCAAATTATAATTAAGATCGAGAGAATACAAGTCAATTTTCTTTTATTTTATTTACTACAAATTTTCCACCAAACAAAAGATGGCGACTCCGCTAGGGACTAGCTTCTCTGATGAAGAAGTGGTAGCGCAATCCGATGTCTATCTCACGAGAACGACTGCCGAAACTCTCATCATAGAGTTTGACCAAGCCAAGTACGAGGAAGCCCTCTCCTCTGGATCGCTTAGCCCCAAGGCTAGACACAACATCCGCAAGATCTCCAAAAAGATCACAACTGTTGCTAAAATGCCAAAGAAAGCCCTCTCCTTTAGCCAAGACTCATCGAACAGCCCCTCTGCCGAAGGAGCAGGCTTAGCCTCTACGAACTCGTCCAACGAGTTGAACGTTCCATGTCCGCGTCAACATGATGTGTTACGGGTAACAAACGGCCTATGGAGGAGGAGGTGAACTCTATAAACGCCGATGATATCGTTGCCAAGGCTTTGAAACAAGCCAAAGAGAATGTTGCTCGAAGACGGAGAAGATCCATACGACGGGCGCATCTTCGAGAAAGCCGATCCCTTGCCCAACGTGAGGATTGCGTTTTTGAGGCTCTGCTCGAACACTGCGTCTCTACTCCAGAACGCGCACTTTGCCGCAACGAGCCTAATTATGAGCCTCGGGTGATACAGCTGAAACGCGACCCTCAGTGGCGCGTTGTTCACCCAAAACGCAGCCCTCAGAAAAGCGCTGCCAAAGATAAACACATATCTCAAGAGTGCGTTCAAGCGAAATATGACCCTCAGGGG